TGCTGGGCCTGCAGCCTGGGTCAAATGAGGATCCGCGGGCCCGGGTCGTCTCACTCACTTGCCGGGCCTATGCTCTGGGTCTGTTCAGGATCCCGCTGCCCTGGTCTTCTTACTCACTGGCCGGGCCTGCGCTCTGGGTCTATTCAAGATCCCGTGGCCTTCGGGCCTGCACTCTGGGTCTGTTCAGGATCCGGCGGCCCTGGGTCCTCTCACTCACTCCCCGGGCCTGTGCTCTGGGTCTATTTAGGATCCGGAGGGCCCCAGGTCGTCTCCTGAATTGTAATTTTTGATCTTGAATTTTTCATTCCCTCTTGTCCTCTTCTTCCCCCTCTATTAGTTTACCAATTTACCCAGCTTTCCTCATGGATGCTGTTTTGATTATTCTACATTGGATGCCGATGGTTTTTAGGTACTAGAATGCAGCCATTGGTGGGCTGTGATCCAAGTCCTGCTTTCTGGTTTCCCTTGAATGGAAGGCTGTGGTAACACTGGGCTGTTGTTTCCCTGTGTGACCGAAGTGGCTGGGGGGAGGGGCCGTGGTGAGAAGGGTCACTATTTCAGGACCGCTGGTCCCCCTGCAACTAACACACTTGGTCTGCTGTGTCCAGTGTGCTCAGCCCTGAGGGAAAGTAGTTGCCACCATCCGTGGGATTTCTGTTGGTTGTGTGACCATGTTACTGACTGTCAGCTGTTGTCAGGTACTGCACTCTGCATGCCCTTGATACTGTCCTCTTGATATATGATGGAAGGCGTCCTTGTCAGCTGATTAAAAATTTGAAGTATACTTTATCATTTCATGTGCTGTTGGATGACTTAATTTATGTTTCTTATGACTTAAGTAAAAACAAAGGATCTATATATCCACGAAGAAAAAATTTAAATGTGCTTTTATCATCGTAGACATTTTTATACACATGCTATATCTCTGAGCTACACGACCTACCCCTTAAATTTTGGTGGAACTGGGGATTAAACTCAGGCCCTTGCGCTTGCCAGGCAAGCGCTTATTCTACTGAGCCATCTCCCTGGTCCCCCTCCTTCTTAAATTTTGAAACAGTATCTTGCCAAGTTGCACAGACTTAGTGGAACCTGCAGTCCCCCTGTTTGGACCTTCCAGGTAGCTGTGATTATAAGTGTACACCACCACACCTAGCAAGATTATCTTAATGAAAAAAGTTCATTTTCAACTATGGTAGTACATTTCTGTAATCCCAGCTACTTGAAAGGCTGAGGCAGAAGGGTCATACATTCAAGGTCAGCCTGGATAGTTAGCCTCTTGAGTCAGAGTAAAAAATTGTAAAAGGGCTGGGAATGTAGCTTAGTGGGAATGCACTGGCTTTAATTTCTGGTTTCACTGAAAGAAAAACGAATAGCTCAACAAACAGTGCTCTAATTTATTGGAGATGGGAAGGAAATGCCTTTAACAGTGGTACCTTGGTTCACAAATACTTTGGGTTACAAACAATTTGATTCACAAACAAAAGTGTGTCGCAGATTTTGTTTTTCTTTGCAAACTCCATGGGATGATAAACATTACTGTGGACATCTTTTCTACATAAACAGAAACAGTAGCCATCTTTTCCAGAATCTTAGAGCAAATTACGTTTGTCAACCAAGGCACCACTGTATCTTGAAACTTTCCTTTCAGTTATGTTCCAGAGCTCAGATGCCCTGGGGTTTGGTAGTTTTTTTTTTTTTGTGTTTTGATTGATTGATTGATTGATTGATTGATTGATTGATTGATTTGGCGGAACTAGGGGTTGAACTCAGGCCCTTGCACTTGGCAGGGAAGCGTTTATTCCGCTGAGCCATCTCCCCAGCCCCTGTGTTTTGATTTTGAGACAGAATCTTGAGTATAGTTTAGGCTTACCTTGAACTCACTGTGGAAGCTCAGACTGGCCTTGAACTCAAAGCAATCCTCCTGTCTCAGCCTCCCAAGTGCTGCGATTATGAACACGTGCCACCATGCCTGGCAGGTCTGCTGGTGTGTGCCTGTAGTTCATCTCATGAAGAAACAAAACAAGCAGGATATAGTGGTGTTCACCTGTCATCCCAGCACTGTTAGGAGGCTGAAGCAGGAGTATTGCAAGCTTAAGCCCAGTCTGGGCAATTTAGAGAACCTGTCTTAAATGTGTAATGATCACCATTTTACAAAATAATAATTTAGAAAGCTGGAGTTCAGTGGGGAAAGCTCTTATGTTCAGTCCCACCACACAGGGCCACGTATCTATGTACACGTGCCTGAGCTCTGTCTCCTCTTTGATGCCTCCACTTCTGCACACCCCTTTTTGGGTGATTTGTTCAGCATTTTAACTTGAGAATACAGCTATCTGGGCTGTATTCTCTTTTCATCCTTACAGCAGCACAGGGAAAAGTAGGACAGTAGGCCAGGAAGAAGCAGAGGTCCGGGGCCACCTGGGTGGCATCTGAGAAGAGGTTAAAAGTTCATTGTTACTTGAAGGAGATTAACTTTTTATAAAATTTTATCATGAGAAATTCAGAAAAAATTAAGCAAAGACCTAATTTCTGCTACTTTTTATTAATGAATTTTTTTATTATGAATTTAGGGCATATGTATTGTGAATACAGGGTGTACAGGGTCTCACTACATGGATTGGACTCCTGTTGATTCTCCTGCTTTCAGCCTCCCAAGTGCTGGGATTACAGGCGTACACCACCAGTCTCAAATCGCCTTCTCAGCGCCCGTCCCCGCCCAGCCAGCGCGGCAAGCTGGGATTTCTGCTACTTTTTATAACACTTGATATTTCTGCCTATTTGAGTCTACTTGCCTATGATTCCACAAACAAGGAACAAAAGGTATACGTTTTCTAAGGAATACTGTGACCGCTCAACCAGGCATGGTTGCACATGCCTGTGATTTCAGTACTGGAGTGCCTGAGGCAAGAGGATCACCACGAGTTTGAGGCCAGCCTAAACTGTATAATAAGTTTAAGACAAGCCTGGGCAACTGGGGTTGGTGCTGCACGCCTGTAATCCCAGCCTCTGGGAGGCTGAAAACAGCAGGATCACTATGAGTCCGATCTATGTCGGAGACCCTAGAGACCCTGTACTAAATACATTAAAAAAAAAAAAAAAAGACGAGCCTGAGCTGGGAGGTGGGGGAGATCCTCTGACCTGAGACTACGTAGCAAGAGTCTGTCTCAAAAAAACCAGAAAGAATACTGTGACCCTCAACCTTTGTGTCATTAGCTAGAATTAGATAGCTGTTTCCTGGGTGGAACCTTATAGCAAGAGCAAGCATTTATGGTCTTCCTTCGATGAAATTCAATATTCACACACTTGTTTATTTGGTGTTTGATAGGTTCTGGCCCGAGCACAAACGGCTAAATTATCGTGACCCTGATTCAACATGGCTGTACCCCAAAGCAGCTTGATCTTCCATTGACCCCTTCTTCCTCCACTCCCCCCCCCCAAGTCCTGGACTCCTTTCCCTTTCACACAAGGGGACCCGGAATCAGCTTGTGTGTCACCAAACCTGCCCCTCAAGCCCTGCCCCTAGCAAAATCCACGAAATCCAGCCTTCCTGTCTGAGGTCAGAGGACCTCTCCCTCTCCCCACCGTTGATCCTCTCTCTGTGTCCTCCTTAGTGGCAATAGTGGCCTTTCCCTTCCTTTCCTTTACTTCTGCTTCTCTGCCGTGCTGAAAAAAACCTAACAGTGTTAACATTTATTTGAATGGTTATATTTTCTGATGTGATGCTGTCTATACAGACATGTTTTAAAGGTGCAGTAGCAAATCATTATATTTTGCCATTTGTTTCTCTCTACAGATAAGGAACAACAAGAAAACTGCCATCTTAGTTAAGGAAGTAAACCCTAAAAAGAAACTTTTCTTAGTTTATCGACCAAATACTGGGAAGCAGCTCAAATTAGAAATTTATGCTGATCTTAAAAAGAAGTATAAGAAGGTATTTTTTTATTTTTATTTTATTGAGATGGGGTCTCACTGTGTAGCTCAGGCTGTCCTTGAACTCATAGTGATCCTCCTGCCTCAGTCTCCCAAGTACTGAAATGGCAGATGTGTACCACCAGTCTGGGTCAGAAAGGGTATTCTTTTCATTTTGTGGTACTGGGGATTGAACTCTAGACCTTGCACTTACTAGGCAGGCCTTTATGTTGCTGAGCTATCTCCCTGGCCCAAAAAGTATATTCTTACTTGTACATTAGACTACTTATAAATACTTGTTTTATGATATTGAAACAGCCTGGCACCATAACACGAACCTCTGCTGTCAGCTACTTGGGAGTCTAGGCAGTGTGTGCCCATCTGGTCAGCTTAATGAGACACTCTCAGGATTGAGAAATGAAAAGGAGTGACGATGTAGCCTAGTTGGCGAGTGCTTGATCCGCATGCTTAAGGCCAGGGGTTCAATCATCAGTTCAGTTAAAATATGCATGTGTAGTGTCATTAAAAGCTATGCTGAATGCTAAAATAAATTTTAAAAAATTATTACAGTAAAAGAAAAATTGCCTGGCCTGAGGGAATAGCTCAGTGGCAGTGCCTGCCTGGCAAGCACAAGCGCCTGAGTTTGATTTCCGGTCTCCCCCTCCCAAGTGCCATTAATTCCCCTCCAAATATCTTTGCTTTGAACACACATAGTCCTATTGTTTGGGCAATGTGTCTTTTACTGTAAAACATTTTTATTAAATTCAGACATTAATTTCATTCTGTACTTGTATATAGAAATCATGTCAAGGATTGTTGTATCTAGATATAAAATTATTGTGTCAGCTTACTTGTTTACTACTTAAAAGATATTCAGAATAATATCAAGCTTTGTATACTAATCTTAGTCTTACTGTTATCACCCACTAAGAAACTAAGAAGGTGGTGGTTTGAAGCAATGTATGTTATTAGTAACAGTAGCGTTCAGCGCTAACTGCAGCATTAGAACTTTTACATAAAAGGAAGATACGTGAGGCTGAAATTCCTTCCTACTTTGGAGCTTTTCTGTGTACATGCTACAGTGTTTTTACCTTTCAGTGATTTCTAGAAAATAGTATATAGTTTTCCAAATATTACCTATAGTTTTTATTTTTAATAGTTCTGTAAATTATTTTTCCTGGCTAGTCTCATTTGAAAGCATCTACAGTTCACCAAGCCCTTTCAATTTCAGTACATTGGAGGAAGCATAGCAGCACTTTTTGAATGGCATTTAAATTGAGCTGGGTGTAAGAGCTGTGTTGTTTCTGAATAGGGATGATTTTAAGTTGGCTGTTTGGGATTAGTTTAAAGCAGCACTGTTTCAATAAAATTTTGTTTTATTTCCACAGGTAGTCTCAGATGATGCTCTTGTGCATTGGTTAGACCAATATAATTCATCTGCAGATACTTGTACTCATGCTTATTGGTTAGTATTTCCTTGTTTCTTGCCTTATTTTCCAGAGTACAGTCAAGATTTAAATGTACCTTCTCACTTTACTGTTAGGTCCTTGTTAGTAAATAAATGAGGTCACTGTCCTCCATGTGCTGCCCTGCAGCAACGGGGTCTCCACAGTGCCCCTGTGTGGAGTGTTGCTGTCCTGGCCCTGCTGCTCTTGGCTGGTGCTTTGTGCTTTCCAGCTAGTTCTTGTCTGGGGGTGTGGCCTCTTTCTCTTAGGAATTGCTGTTTCCACTTCCTTCTGCTTCATTCTTCCTGTTCTTTTTTGGGGGGTGGTGGTGTATGTGTGTGTGTGTGTGTAAGTGTGATACCAGGGATAGAACTCAGGACCCTGTACTTGCTAGGCAGGTGCTTATGCCACTGAGCTATGTCCCCAGCCCCTTGAACTTTTAAGAAATCAGGGAACTGAGTGGCTGCATAGCACAGGAAAACTTGATGTTGTTCCATCCTGGAGCTAGTCCTGTTGTTATTGCCAGCTCACTCAGTGTTTATCTGACCACCTTGTGCAGACTGTTGTATATCCTGCAGAGTTTGATTCTCTGGTTTTTTGGGGTGGCTCTTTTTTGTTTTGTTTTGTTTTTTAACCTATGAAGTAGTTAATGAGTTTGCATTGTCTGGGCCACTATGTAAAAGGAAACAATGAAGCTTAGCTCAGAGTTGTGGGTTTTTTTTTTTTTTTTTTTTTTTTTTTTTGTGGAACCTGGAATTGAACTCAGGTTCTTGTACATGCCAGGGAAACACTTATTCTACTGAGCCATCTCCCTGGCCCTCAAGTTTGTTGATTCATACAAATAGCTAAATTTTCTTTGATGTAAATAATACTTTGTTTTCATTTTGAATGCAAATTAGTGCTACTGGAAGTTGAAATCTAAAGTCAGGCATGGTGGCGTATGCCTGTAAACCCAGCACTTAGGAGGCTGAGGCAGGAGGATTACCATGAGTTTTATGCCAGGCTGTGCTGCATAGTTCAAGGCTAACCAGAATTACACAGTGAGACTCTGTCTCAAAAGATAAAGTTAAAATTTAGAAGTCTAGTTGGGTGTGGTGGCACACGCCTGTAATCCGAACCCTCAGGAGACTGAGGCAGGAGGATTGCTGTGAGTTTGAGGCCATCCTGAACTGTGTAGTGAAACCCTGTATCAAAAGCAACCCCCCCCCCCACCCCCGGTCTGGTGAGATGGCTCAGTGGTCTAAAGCACCTACTTAGAACAAACTAAGCTAAACAGGTAACAGGGACTGCGGTTCAATCCCCCAGCACCACATGCCAACCAGCCCCGCCCCCTGGTGGGCTGAGCTGGCCACACACACACTAAATAAAATAAATTTTAAAAAAAGCAACCCCCCCAAAAAAAAAACCACTTAGAAGTCTTCAGAACATTTCAGAAGTCAATGTCTAAATGTCCTCTGAAACATTTGCTTTGTGTCATAGCATAAAGTATGCTCATATGTATGCAGTTAATAGTGTGTGTTTCTCTTGATGTTGCCCAGAGCGAGCTTTCTGTGTGAATAATGAAAATAATTGAAACCATAAAATAGTGCTTCATCTCCTCTTTTAAACTCAGTTCTCTTTAAGTCTACCTATGATTCTTCTCTTTTTGGTCACTGGGGTCTTTTCCACTAACCTGACTTAGAACAGTGTTATCAGTGGTTTAATAATATAGGAGTAACTGACAGGTTTATTTAAGAGGCTGGCAGTACTACAGTAGAATCATGGATGTTAAGGTGGCTAGATTTTCCATTTCAAATTTGTATAGAGGGCCGGGGAGATGGCTCAGTAGAATAAGTGCTTGCCTGGCAAGTGCAAGGGCCTGTGTTCAATCCCCGGTTCCACCAAAAAAAAACCCAAAACAAAACAAAAAAAAAAAACAAATTTGTATAGACCTTGGAAACCTTTTGTGGAGGGCACATGTACACATAGACATGAGAGTTTTTTTTTTTATTCCGCTGTTTATTTATTTATTACATTCATTTAGTGTGTGTGTGGCCAGCTCAGCCCACCAGGGGGTGGGGCTGGCTGGTATGTGGTGCTGGAGGATCGAACCGCGGTCCCTGTGCTTTGCCAAGCCCGTTCCAAGTAGGTGCTCTAGACCACTGAGCCATCTCTCCAGCCCCGACATGAGAGTTTTTTCTTCCTGATTTTTCTAGGCGTGGCAATTGCAAAAAAGCAAGCCTGGGATTAGTCTGTGAAATAGGTCTTCGCTGCCGCACATATTACGTTCTATGTGGCTCAGTCCTGAGCGTGTGGACAAAAGTGGAGGGTGTTCTCGCATCTGTCAGTGGTACAAATGTGAAGATGCAGATAGTTCGGCTAAGGACAGAAGATGGGCAACGGATTGTAGGTGAGTCTGAGTTTTGTTTTACTTAATTTTCGGGAAAAATCAGATCCAGCCATTTTTACTTTGCTTCTGGTCCTTAGCTCCCTTCCATGCCTGCTGTTGGCTGCAGAGCTTGCTTATGTGTCCTGCAGGGCGAGGTAGGGGCTGTCCTTGAAGGGATGTGGTGACCACAGGCTGTCCCTGTGGTGCTGTGCTCATGGCCCATGCTCCCTGGCCGAGGCCTCAGTAAAGGCCCTTGTGCTGGGCTCTGCACTGTGAAGTGAAGAAGGTACCCTGGCTCTCCCGGCAAGTGGCCAGGCCCTGTGCAGTGGCCACAGCCCTCAGTGTAGCCTGTGGGCCAGAGTCCGCCGAGGAATGGGCTTTTATTTTCTTTGTTTTTGGCTCTGAAGTATTTTTAGTTATGGCAAGTTTTTATTTGAATTATTTGCCACGTTTTAAAATGAAGAAACAGATGTTTCACGTAAGAGCCTGAATTTCTCACACATCCTGAAGGGCTGCTCTGGAGTGCGGCCTTCATACACCTCGCTGCAGAGTGCACGATCCCTGGGCTGGGGCTGGGGCTGGGGCTGGGGCTGGGGCTGGGGCTGGGGCTGGGGCTGAGGCTGAGGTGACACTCTGTGCTCTGTTCCCATGGCGATGTTCCCTGCTGGGGAGCACCGGCCTTGGCCACTCCTGTGTTGGAGTCGTTTTGTGCCTGTGTGCATGGCAAGAAGGCAGTGTCTGTGCTTTACAAGCTGGAGAAATGGTAGGTGGAAGAGCGCTGCTCCTAACCCTTCCTTCAGCCAGAAGATGCGTCCTGTTACACACATGTGCTTGTGGCTTGTGGGAAGCCCTTCAGAGGAACCAGCTTGCATCGTAATGCCCCACAGCAGTTACACGGTGCTCGGTGAATATATGTGTGAAGTCCTGGTTTGTTAAACTTAAAATTACTCCTCATTTGGAAACTGGTGAGAAGTTGTAAGGTACAGTGTGGTTTCTACTGGACACAGCTTTGTATGTTCTTGTTGCTAATTACAGGCTTGATCATTCCGGCGAATTGTGTGTCGCCTCTCATAAATCTCCTGTCAACTTCAGACCAGTCTCAGCAGCTTGCGGTCCAGCAGAAGCAGCTGTGGCAGCAGCATCACCCACAGAGCATCGCCAACCTGAGCAACGCTTGAGGAACAGACAGGTGGCAGCACGGTGTGTCTTGAGATGCTGTGGGGCATATCATTTGCATAAAAATCAGGGACAGTTTCCAAAGAATTCTATATATTTTTTTGGTTGTGCTTTCTAGTTAATTTTTTGGGGGAATAAGGACAAACCTGGAATAGGTAGCAAAACTGAAAATCAGCAGTGCCGATGGTAGTACATGAATCTTTTCCTTTCACCTCCCTGAGGCTTCCCATCCGCTTCTATTTGGGTGAGCTGAGGGGCATAATGCGCATGTGCGCACATCGGTCTGTTTGTGTTTGCAACAAACCACAGTTGGTTTAAGATGCTTGGAACTTCCCAAACTGGCTTTACCTTCCTGTTACACAGTGCTCAGGGTTAATGCAGTACATTCATGTCATTGCTGGGGCCTCCCCAGGTGCATGTGTTGAGTCTATAAATATGGAAAATATATATTGATTTCTTTTTCCAACATAAAACAATAGGTTTACTAAAGCATGAAATGAAAGGCTGCATATCATGCATTCAGGTTTTTTTGTAGTTTTTGTTCTGACAGTGCATGTCTTTGAAAGCATGCGTAACACAACACAGAAGTTGAGCGTTGGGAGAGAAGATTTGTAGATGTACAGCATTGGGTATTGCGTTTTCATAGTGTTTATACCTGGGTGTTGCATCCAGCCTTGCAGACCCTCCCTGCCTCCTCTCCTCCCTTGCCCCAGGTTTCTGTCCAGGTAATGAGTACAAATTTGTAATAAAACTCCTCAAAGTTAATTTTAATGTATTAATATAGTATTCCTAATGTGTGCTGCAAAAATGGCTATAAGCCTGTTCTTCTTAAAAGTTACATTTTCCTTAACTTAAAGATAGTTTTAGAAGTACAGTTGGCTTCTGTCTTGCAAAAACTCTGGTTTTACTTCATTTCATTATCTGACGTTTTTGTCACTCATAAACAGAAAACCATACTTGAGTTGTAAACTAGAAATGAGGAAACACTTGAGGCTTCTGCTGTATGTTTTTTTGTTGTTGTTATTGTTACCCAGTAACTTGAACATTGTTTTCTGTGTTGTAAGACATTGTAGAATTTATCTCAAGCTGTTAAAAATGGTAATGTACAAATGTGAATAGACATTTATCTATAACATGGGTAAGATTTGTTTTGCCTATAATAGATGTTTATAAAAACAAGTGAGGGACTTTTTTCAAGTGGTCTTTTCTTTTTTATTTGCTTGCACAGGTTGCACTATTAAAATTGAGATTGTATAAACCTGATTAAAAACTGCAAGGTACCAAAATCTTGTAGATGTTAAATAAAAAGTTACCATCCTGATGAAGTGGACTCGTGCTTAGGCCCTCCCTGGGGATGGTCAGGAGGGGGCTCTGCAGGACTTGGCGGGGCCTCCATCTAGGCAGTGGTAGAGCCTGGCTTCAAACCTGCTCCTAAATTCTAACTCTGAGGAGGTGTTGAGGAAGGATTACATGATAAACTCCTGAATGTTTTTCTGGTTGAACTGTTCCCTTTGTAACTTGTTAAATTTCTTAAAGAATTGTGTATTGAGGGGTAGAATGCTCATCAAAATTTAGATCTTTTATCTTCTTGTTTCTTTAACCCTGATTTTGGATAAGTTTATTGTGTTTTCTTTAGTTGTATTTATTCTTAGTGCCTAAAAGAACAAATAGAGAGTAATATCTGTTCTTGGGCATATTCTGCCCAGTGGATGCAGCTTCTACCCTCAGTCTGGCCCATGCTTCTCAGGCTGAGCACTATGAGATCTGCCTGTGCCCCTGGCAGGACCACCGACTCACTCCAGATGCAACCAAAGCCTCCCAGGTAGTGCTTCTGTTTATAGACTGCTTGTCCTGCTGGTGACCTTCAGCATGTTAAGGTGAAGGCCTGCTGGCAAGGGAGGCCTAAAAAGCTGCTCCTTTGGTGAGACCCAGTGGCAGGGCAGAACAGAGACGCCTAGGCTGTTGGCTCACCCGCCTTTCATTGTGCGAGGGTCTCAGTTTAGCAGATTCTGGCGTCTCCAAGGCTAGGCCATGCTGTAACGTTTGCTTTCAGTATAAAGAGGCTGGAGGGCCTTGTGGTCTTTGTAGACATGAGGCACCTAAAAATCCTTTCAAAGCAGACTTTGAAAGGGGAGTAGACGGGCGGAGTGCCACATGTGTGGTGCCCAGGGCCAGTGCCTACGCCTGGAGAACTGAGTATCTGGTGTCTACACTGTGCCCTTAGAAAAGTCAGGGCATTTGGGTCAGTCACTGGAAAAGCCCCAACAGTCAGTGGTCACTTCTGTCCCAAACCCAGGTCTTGACAGCAGCTGGTTTGTGCAGAACAGGTTCATTTTCCGCAGGATCTAAATGGCACATCTCCACCTAGAGGCTGATTTTAGCCCAACAGGCGTCCCCATGGCCTCTGCAATAATGCCTTTTCTCTCACTCTTTAGCAATATGGCTCTGAGCTTGCACATTTGATTGTGAATTATGTCCGCGTTTTCAGGATTTACAGTGCCAGTTATACTGCAGACCACTCGTGAATCCAGGGCTGCTCAGATGTCCCTCCAGGGCAAGAGTGTCCCCTTAGCCACAGCCTCCCTGCACCAGGTCTGTGCAGCTGGGGGTGAGTGGCAGGAGTTCATGGAAGTATCAAAGTATTTCTTTAAATAAAATTTGATCCAAAGTAGGTAGGCTAGGCTATTCTCTCTTTTGGCTACTAAATTGTGCTACACCCTCAGTATCCTTACTGTGTATGTGCATTAGCAAGAATTTGCATCCAAAGCACTGTATGTAGTAGGCTGTATTTGTGTGTGTGTGTGTGTGTGTGTGTGTGTGTGTTTATATTTATTCTCAGTTCATTAGTACTTCACAAACCATTTTGAGTTGCAACAAAAAATCTAGTCTGCTGTGTCTCTACAGGCAAAAGTTACAAGTTATCAAACTCCTTGGGAATGTGTTTTAGAGGCACAGCTTTTGGCCTTTCCCGTGGGGCATTCATTTGTCAGTCACCACGTGATGCTGTTTGAACAACTTCTAACAGGCAAGAGAGAGGGTACCAGGACATGCCATCTTGTTGTGTACCCAGAACCTTTTCCCCTCCCTTCACTTTTCATTTTAGCTTAAGAGGAAAGGTAAGAGATTAGCGGTTATTGCTGCTCTTCATTTTAGGAGAGGGGTGGAAGTTTTCTTTCAGTCCTCTTCGTGGTAAGTTATTAAAAGGCAGGCCCTTATTCAGTTACTCTCACTTTTCAGATGTCCCTTCATGGTTCTGGGTAGTTCTAAGAGCGCTGCTAGGAAGAGCCACCGTTAGACTGGGATGTGGGCTGGGGACAGTTGGCTCAGGTGTCCTGCTGCGCACAGTTGACTGTTCCCCTTCTTGTGCCTGTGGCCTGCCTGGGCCCCACCACGTCCGAGCACACGCCTGTGTGCTCAGCTGTAGCCCACATTCCGTGTCAGGACTGCAGCTGAGTGCACAGACCGCTCGCAGCAAACCTCACACAAGGCCAGCTGATGAGTGCAGTGCGTTCTCGTGGGAACACCGCACGCAGATGCCTGCAGCTCAGACTAGCGACTTTTTTCTGAGTGTGTTGGTGAAATCTGGACCCTACTTTCTAATTGTGTGCTATACTTATATATATGTACATTAATATGTATATAGAGAAATGTAAGCTCTTTTGAATTGTGAATGTAAATATTTCTTGTAAATTGGGGCCCCACCCACTTGCTTTTCCTCTTTCCTCCTCCTCCTCCTCTTCCTCCTCTTCTTCCTCTTCTCTTGATTCCTTTCGTGACTTCCCATATGGGTATTTACTACTTTTTCTTTCCTGCTTAGGAAAGTATGAGACACTTGGTTGACTTGTTCCGCCCTCTTTGCTGTACAGTCCCTATCTGTTTCAACACGCTTACTTGTGCTTTGCATTTTATCACAGTCACAATCCTGTCTGCAACGTGTTGTATTGGAGGAGTGCGCTGGAGCGCCGTGCGATTCTGTCTTCATGTGATGGGACAGTGTTCCTTTACGTTGTTCCCTGGAGGCCGCAGGAGTCTGACTTTTTTTTTCCTCCTTCTTCCCAAGACTTCATTAAGCTCCTGTAAGTTCTTCAGTGCATTTGGGATCAAACCTGGCTCTTCAGGAAACTTGACTTGCTCCTACTCTCGCAGTTTTTCAGGCCTGCGCAGAATTTCTCCATTCGGGCTTTTCACCTAACAGGGACATTTTGCAGATTAGAAACTTTGAATCGCTGTTCGTGACCTGCTGCTGCAAATTCCCGTTAATTGAAGCAGTGAGCCTGCACTTGTACCCACACATGAACAGTCACAATTACGTTTTGCAGTAGATGCAGGTAATTGATCTGCTGTGGCAATAACTTCTTAAGGATATTGATTGCAGGCAGGGCCAAGCCTGGTAGTCAGTTGACAGGTGACACTGGAGAACATGGATGGGGGGGCTACCACTAGCCCCCACGCTGGCTTCCGAGGGGCCTGGGGCAGCATGCTCCCACCCCTCCCCAAGTCCTGGTGCTGGCGGAGCTGGCCAGGAGCAGGCCCTGAGCGCGTCGCCTTAGCGGTAGGGAGTGGTGGCCGGGGGCAAATAGCAGTTAGCTTTTTGCAGTCTTGGCACTTTTTAAGAAAATGTTTCTCTATAATCTTCCAGCATGCCTTGAGAGCATTTCTTGGACCTGAGCTTTATACAAAGCCCAGTTCATCATCTTTCAGCCTGGTAGACTTGTTGAAACTTTGGTAAGATTCAGAGCTTAACTTATGATGATTCAGGGCGTCGCCTTTTCCAGCAGCAGCCCCTCCTGCTCAGCTTTCTGACTGTGCCCACACAGAGGGCACTTGGGGCATTTGCAGCAGCAGTGGCAGGGACGGTGACACCAAGGTGATGTCCTGTGCATGCCGTGGAGCAAGCCTGGGCGAGGGGGTTCTTTTTAGTTCTGGCAGCCTAGGGGCTGCAGGGCAGCATGCAGGTCCCTCGGGAAGCGCGGCCCTTGGGCCAGCCGCACTCTGATGCCCAGTGAGACCTGGGTGATGCCGAGGGACTTTCAGGCTGCAGCAGCATTTGGCACTGAAGAGATTAAAGAAGCTTGCGCCTTCCCTGTGCCTCCTACTCCCTGCGACAGAGTGTGCTTTTCTTTTATGTAGCACATCGTGATCCCAACCCGGGAAAATCACCCTGGTCATGGTTTATACTAAATTTGCAAACTACTGAGAGTATTTTTCAACAACCACTTGTATCTACCATCAACCATGAGAGGTGGGAAGAGGTACACTGTATCTCTGCAATAAAACTTCGGCCAGGTTCTACCTCCTCGAGCAAAGGCTGTTTTCTACGTAGGTGTAGACCTTCCTTCCTGACTAAGCTGACATGGTGCATCTCCACACATCGTCCGATGGAACCCAAAGACCACCCAAAGCAGAGTGGACGCGGACTCTTGGGGTGTCCTCTCCCTCCTCTTCAGGCTCCCCCGTCGCCGCTCGGTCAGGAGTGTCCTCCATGTCCTCTGCCTCACTGCTGCCTTCCTCCGCTGGGCCCGAACAGCGCGAGCTTCCGGAGCTTTCCTCCCAGACTGGCCTCATGCAGTAAAGGTGCGTGGACTGCACCCGGCGAGGAACACTGTCGCCCATGAGCGTAACCAGTTCTGTATTTAGGGTTTTATTGTGGCTTTTGTTTTGTTTTTGTTTGGGGTCTTTTTTGTTGTTTTTGTAAAATTCTTAAATAAATTAAAGAAAATAGAGAAAGCTGCTCTTCGTGCTTTTGATGCCGTGGGCCTTTTTCCCCTGCGGAAGGCGTGTCTTTATGGCACCCTCACGTTCGCAGCGCGTGTACAGTAGCCGGCCAGTGTGCCTACCTCGTGCAGTGCTGCCTGCCTGGCTGTGGGCCTGTCACCTACGTGACTACCAAACAGAGGACGTCATGAGTGCTGGAACTGGCTGCCCTGCGTCCCTGGGCTGTGTGGTTCACAGCTGGTGTCCAAGCTGAGTCCAAAGAGAACCGGCCAGCCGCAGTCCCGGAAGCCCTGGAGCGCCTGCTCGTCTCTGCAGCCCGGGACCTCTCCCTGGGGTGCAGCTGGCCTCACTTTGCTGTAGGCTCCGAAAGCCGTTTCAGTGACTTGATGGAGCGGGTGCCATATGCATTCGTAGGCTGGAAACGTGTTGCATGAGCGCCAGTAGCACCTGGCATTGGGCCGTCCCCCCCCCCAGGCAGTCCCACGGGTGTTACTCAAGGGCAGGTGACCTCTTGGCAGGGACAGTGAGGGAGGGAACAGTGAGAGTCTAGTGGTCCCAGGTATGGCGGTGCGTGGCTGCAGCCCTGGCCCTGAGCCCAGTGCACAC